CAAATCCCACACTCAAGACTCGCTTCTGTGTTTCTTTAAGCTCTGGTGTTCCTGCAGGATCCTTTAGTCCCTCAGTTCTCCTGGTGCTACCCACACCTCTCAGCACTCATGGCCACATGGAAAATCAATTTATTCATGAAAATATTTTATAGGTCACTTGGCTCAGGTTCTCTTGAGCATAAAGTATACTCCTAAAAATCCTTTGGGAAAGACCAGAGCCTTGCTAAAGCTGAAAAGGGCAGGTTTGCTCTTTGGATGCCATCTGGGAGTTGTGCTTGGAAGTTTCTCCCCAGAGCAGAGGTGGGGCTGGCAGGTGACCCCAGGACTGACCTTTTGTCCTTGGAGATACCAAATTTTCTGTAGCAAAATAGGGATGAACAAGGAAACTGGTGGAGGAGATCCCAAATTTTTCTGTAGCAAACCAAGAATGAACAGAGATTGAGAAAATCCCAACTTTCTTGTAGCAAACAGGGATGAGCAGAAAAACAAATTTCTCTTCATGAACAGAGGTGGGGCTGGTCCCCAGTGACTTTTCCCCCTTGGAGGGGAATCCCAAATTTCCTGCATCAAAACAGGAATAAACAGGGAAATTGGTGGAGGAGATCCTAAATTTCCTGTAGTAAAACAAGGATTAGTTTCTCCTCAGAGCAGTGGCTGCTGGGTGACCTCAGCGCTGATTTTCTTCCTTTGGAGGAGATCCCAAATTTCCTGTAGCAAAACAAGGATGAGTTTCTCTCCAGAGCACAGGTGGGCCTGGCAGGTCCCCAGTGGCTTTCCCTCTCAGAGAAGCTCCCAAATTACCTCTATAAAAACCGTGAACAAAAGCTGGTGGAGGAGGAGAACCCAAATTCCCTGTAGCAGAGCAGGCCTGAACAAGCGAAGCGGTCGCGAAGCCCCACTGGGCTGGAGCAGGATGGAGCTGGCTGTGCCTGAGGGTCGTTCCGGGGAGGTCCAGAGGGCCACATTCCCCCCATGTCCCGCGTGGATCTGCAGCTCAGGCGTGGGAGTTGATGGCTTTTTGTTTTCTCTCCCGGTGACGTCAGCCTGCACCTGACCACCTTCAGCCTGCAGTACACCCCGCCCGTTGTGGCCTGCGTCTGTATCCACCTGGCCTGTAAGTGGTCCAACTGGGAGATCCCAGTCTCCACGGACGGCAAGCACTGGTGGGAATACGTTGATGGCACTGTAACTCTGGAGCTCTTAGATGGTAAGTTTGGGAGCGAGGTTTCTTCCCTGCAAAAGGCTCTTAAATGATTTTGGCATCGCTGGTCCTGGGTCTGATGTTCCGACACCACCTCACGGGCTCCAGGAGTTCAGGGCTTGCTGAGCTTTTCCAGGGCAGCAGCGGCTTCTGTAGCAGCACAGAGAAATGAGTTTGAACGGGTCAGTGATTCCAGTTGTCAGAATTCCCCTCCTGGCACAGCTCCATCCCACCAGTAGCTCCATCTGTCAGATGAGGGGGTTGTCCTGATGGACTGGGGCTGCTCTGACCCTCCCGCTTGGGTTTGTGTCTCCTCTGCAGAACTGACTCATGAATTCCTGCAAATCCTTGAGAAAACTCCCAGCCGACTGAAACGGATCCGGAACTGGCGGGTAAGAACCTTGGACACAGGCTGTGATTCCTTTGGGAATTGCAATGCAGGACAGCAATGGAGGGAGTTGTCTGTGGAATTGAGATACTGTGTGTGGTGCTTGTGGTGCTTCATCTGTTGTGAATTAACTTGTGCAGAACTTTGGTTTTCCAGCTGCATTAGCAGCCCTGCTTCCAGGGGTTGGGAATTTTCCCACAAAGAGGGATGGGAGCAAAGTGGATCTGTCTGTAAAGAAGACCTTGGACTGTTGTGGTGAGCTTCTTGGATTACACCAGCGACACCCCAAGTAAACACTCGCTGATTTGTTTAATTCCAGGCCTCTCAAGCAGCCAGGAAATCCAAAACCGACGACCACGGCGACGACGAGAGCCTGTCAGAGCAGACAATCCTCAACATGATCTCCAGGAACAACAGCTCGGACATGAACATCGCTGGGCTTATGAGCATGTCTACATCCTCCACCGCCGGAGCGGGGCCGGCGCTCCCGGCCGCGGCCGATTCCCCCGGGGAGCCGAGCGCTGCGGATCCGTCCCAGGCGGATCACTGGCACCCCCCGGCCAAGCTGGACATCCACAGGACTAGCGAGAGCACGTCGGCCGCTGAGCACCCGCAGCAGGACGGTGCTGCCTACCCCAAGCAGAGCACCAAGAACGCACCCTCAGCCAAGGTGTCCCTCAAGGAATACCGGGCCAAGCACGCCGAGGAGCTGGCGGCACAGAAGCGGCAGCTGGAAAACATGGAAGCAAACGTACGCTCCCAGTACGCCTACGCCGCGCAGAACCTCCTGGTGCAGCAGCAGCGGGAGAGGGAAGGGCAGCAGGACAGCAACCCCTCCCCGATCGTCCTGAAAATCCCCATCGCAGGGCCGGAGAACCCCGAGCGCCCGCCCGGCGCCGACAAGGGTGACAAAGCTCTCAAGATGAGGATCCCGGCGGCGGGGGGAGGCGGGGAGAGGCCGATCCCCTCCAAGCAGGAGGAGATCAAGATGCGGATTAAGGTGCCGGGTCCCGGAGACAGACACGGCTCCACGGATGAGAGCGGCGGGAAGAGCCGGGAGTACAAAGAGAAGCACAAGGGCCACTCATCCAACCACCACCACCACCACCACAACCACCACTCGCACAAACACTTGCACGCCCAGCTCGGCGCCGGCCCCAGCACCGTGGCCAAGCGCCCGGGGGACTCCAAACACGGCGCCCAACCCAGTGCCACCGCCGCCCCCCACAAGGGCTACGGGCCTCTCGCCCCCACCCGCAAAAGACCCCTGCCCGAGGAGCCCCCAGCCATGCCCCACGAGCACCAGCCCAAGGTGGGCAAAGTCTCCAAAGGCCCCGGAGTGCCGTTCCCGTACTCCCACCTTCCCGGGGCTGCCCATCTCCCTGGGCACAGCTCGGATTTATCCCAGCCCAGCAAAGCCCGGGGCGCCCACAAATCGGACAAGGGGCCTTCGGGGGCCAACGGGCACAACGTCAGCCAGGCCAGTGACTATCAGGACACGGTGAACATGCTGCACTCGCTGCTGAGCGCGCAGGGCATGCAGCCCACCCAGGCCCCCGCCTTCGAATTCCACTCGTACGAGCTCCTGAACCCCCGGGCTTCCAGCAGCTCCAGAGCTGCCACCAACACGGACAAGCCCCGACCGCCCCCCCTGCCCTCGGAACCGCCCCCTCCGCTGCCTCCCCTCCCCAAATAACCCCCTTTTTACTACTGAGTCCAGAGCCCGAGCCCAAACCTGCGGGGCTTTTCTAAGGGCTTTTCGATCTCCACTGCCTCACGAAGAACTTATTTTATTATGATATAACTTTTATTATTGATATTTAGTTGTTAAAGCTGTGAAAGGATAAGGAACCCTTTCTCTATTCCTCCCTTTCCCCCCATAGGCTCCCAGTTAGTGTTGGGCTTTGACCCCCCCGCTGGGGAACATGGGGGATATTTAAAATATGTCACAGAAAATTTAAGATGTTTTACAAATAATTTAAGCATTAACTTATATCTTAGTGGTTTGGTTCCTTTTAATTCCGAGGGGCTGTGGCAGACCCCAGGGGGACTTTTGGGGAGATTCCCTTTGAGCCGTTGGTGTTGAGTTTTTGGGGGATGGAGGGATGTGGTGGGGCTGAGGGAATCCCAAGGTGATGGGAGCTGTTTTCCCTCCCATGGGTTGTTTCCTTGCCCCTGCAGCTGTTCTGGTTTGGGATCCTCTCTCCATCCCTTGCTCCCTTCCTGTAGATCCCTGGATTTCCACCGGAACCCTGGGGGCAGGGGGGCACATTCCCAGTGGGATCTGGGATGAGAAAGTGCCAGGCTGGTCCTGTAGGCACCATGCCTGGGGCAGCTCTTCAGGGAATCCCATTGGCACATGGCTGTTCCCAGCTGAGCTGGAAGCAGCTTCTCCTGGATCCTCAGCCCAGGGCCAGGGGACCTGCCAGGCTTTGGGTTGAATATTTGGGAAAGCCCTATTTCCTTTCTTTTTTAGACTTGACTTTTCTGACCTTCAATAAATGGGTGGTCTCCGGATGGTTTTGGGAAACTCTTGTTTCACATCGAGCTTGTTTTTAGGAGGAACTGCTGCTGCCAAACCCTCTCCAAGGATCTGGGGACCGATTTGGTCCAGTTTTGGGACCAATTCTTAGATCCCAGGCTCTGGGCAAAGCCCATCTCTTGCTTCCCTTCCCTTTTTTGGAGCCCCTCTTGGAGGCGGCTCCTCCCGGGATGTCGAGGCTCTGCCCTTCCCGATGGGGAGCAGTGTCGGTTAACGGCTGGCTCGGGAAACCGGGAGGGGACCGAGTGATGCCAGGGGGGACCAAGCTGGGTGTACCGCGAGCATTTCCTGACCCGGAGCCAAAACCCACGCCCGGTCCCCGCTGGGCCCCTGCTGCCCCTCTCGGTGGTGAATCCCCAGGACCCCTGCCCCCGGTGTCCTGTCCCGGGATCCCCCTGCTGTCCTGTCCCGGGACCCTTCCCGGTGTCCTGTCCCGGGATCCCCCCTGCTGTCCTGTCCCGGGACCCTTCCCGGTGTCCTGTCCCGGGATCCCCCATGCTGTCCTGTCCCGGGACCCTTCCCGGTGTCCTGGCCCGGGATACCCCCTGCTGTCCTGTCCCGGGACCCTTCCCGGTGTCCTGTCCCGGGATCCCCCCCGCTGTCCTGTCCCGGGACCCTTCCCGGTGTCCCGGCCCGGGATCCCCCCGCTCCCGCCGCGCCCACGTGTCGCGTTCCCGCCGCGCCGCCCCCACGTGACCCTGGGGGGCGTGGTCGCTCCCTGCGTGAGTGACTTCCAGGTCAGCCAATCACACACGGGACCTCCGCTGTGCTGGCCGTTGATTGGCGGGCGGGCGGGCCAGTGAGGAGGTGGGGCGGGCGCGCGGCGCTGCAGCGCGGAGGCCGCGGCGGCAGAGAGGTAAGATGGCGGCGGCGCCTCCTGCTCACAATGGGGCCCGGTGTGCCCCTCAGCGCGGCCCCCGAGTTCTTCTCCGGGGCTCCTCCGTCCTGCACCGGCCCGAGGGCGGGTCTCCTCTCGCTCTCCGCTCCGGCAGCGCTGCCTGGCCGCCCCTCAGGGGTGCCCCTCACGCCCGCCGCCCGCGGACAAAATGGCGGCTCCTGGGCGGCAGGAGCGCGCATGCGCGGGAGCGCGGCGGCGGAGCACGTGCGCGGGCGGGAGAGCGCCGGGACGGACCGGGACGGGCACCGGGAGAGAGGCCGGGATGGACCGGGATATACCGGGAGAGAGGCCGGGATGGACCGGGATATACCGGGAGACAGGCTGGGATGGACCGGGACGGGCACCGGGAGAGAGGCTGGGATGGACCGGGACGGGCACCGGGAGAGAGGCTGGGATGGACCGGGATATACCGGGAGAGAGGCCGGGATGGACCGGGATATACCGGGAGAGAGGCCGGGATGGACCGGGATATACCGGGAGAGAGGCTGGGATGGACCGGGACGGGCACCGGGAGATAGGCCGGGATGGACCGGGACGGGCAGCGGGAGAGAGGCTGGGATGGACCGGGACGGGCACCGGGAGAGAGGCTGGGATGGACCGGGAGGGGCACCGGGAGAGAGGCTGAGATGGACCGGGACGGGCACCGGGAGAGAGGCCGGGATGGACCGGGACGGGCACCGGGAGAGCGCCGGGACGGACCGGGATGGGCACCGGGAGAGAGGCTGGGACGGACCGGGACGGGCACCGGGAGACAGGCTGGGATGGACCGGGACGGGCACCGGGAGAGAGGCTGGGACGGACCGGGACGGGCACCGGGAGAGAGGCCGGGACGGACCGGGACGGGCACCGGGAGAGAAGCTGGGACAGACCGGGACGGGCACCGGGAGAGAGGCCGGGATGGACCGGGACGGGCACCGGGAGAGAGGCCGGGACGGACCGGGACGGGCACCGGGAGAGAGGCCGGGATGGACCGGGACGGGCACCGGGAGACAGGCTGGGACGGACCGGGATATAGCGGGATAGAGATGGGGATAGATCAGGATGGGCACGGGAATAAACCCGGGGATGGACCGGGACGGGCAGGGCACCGGGAGAGAGGCTGGGTGGAACAGGATGGGCACGGGGATAAACCCGGGGATGGACCGGGATAGAGACGGGGATAGATCAGGATGTGCCCCGGGATAAACCCCGGGATAGACCCGGATACACGCTGCGGAACCCTGGTGTAGAGGCGGGAATAGACCGGGATGAGCAGCAGTAAAGACCGGGGACAGTTCGCGGTTGAGGCTGGACGGGCAGCGGGGGTGCGCCGGTGTGGAGGCGTGCCTGCACACCGGTAACGGGACGAGTCACCGGATAGAGGCAGCGAGGGGCACTGGGAGCACCGAGGAGATGCACTGGGGGTGCACTGGGAGAAGACGATCCCCCACAGATTTCTACAGGGCTAAAAATTCCCTCGAGCATTATTGGGAATTACCTCCATAGGAGCAGCCTCATTTTCTGCTGAAGGGGTCAGACTTTGATTCAAATTCTTTCCCGCTGCTACTTTTCATTTTATCAGCGTTTTATTTCACTGCTTTTCCTTGCTCTGCATCCCTCCTGCAGTGTCGGCATGAACAGGATCCGGATTCACGTGTTACCGACGAGCCGGGGCCGCCTGACCCCGGTGCCACGGCCGCAGGAGCCCCTGGCCTGCGCCTTTGCCCCCCGGCCCTGCTCCCAGCCCCGCCTGGAAGGGCAGGAATTCTGCATCAAGCACATCCTCGAGGACAGGAATGCTCCCTTCAAACAGTGCAGCTACGTGTCCACAAAGAACGGGAAACGTTGTCCCAACGCTGCTCCCAAACCCGAGAAGAAGGATGGGTGAGTGGCTCTTCCTCCTGGTTTTCCAGTTCCAAACTCTATGGAATTAAAACAGGCAGGGGGAGGTTTTTCTCTTTGTCTTCCCTTTTGAAAAAATGGCCGGAGCTGTGACAGGGGAGATTTATACTGGATTTTGGGAAAAGGTTCTACCCCAGTTGAGCACTTTGGCAGCTCCTCAAGGTAGTGGTCACATTCACAGCCCTACCAGAGCCCAAGGAATGTTGGGATTATGCACCCAGGAGCATGGTGGGATTTTGGGATATCCTGTTTAAGGCCAGGAGTTGGACTTGGTGATCCTTGTGGGGCCTTTTCAGGACATTCCATGATTCTTCCAGCTGCTGTATTTGGGTAACCTCTGAGGAGCATCTCCCTTTTTCCAAAATGTTTTTAAGCTGGAGAAAGTCTCCATGGAGTTGTCTGGGGACTGTGGGCTGTGCCCTGGCCCAGCAGAAGGTGGCTGCAGTGCTCCAGGCCCTGCACTGGATGTGTGTGGGCAGTCCCTCCCTCATCCCAGCACATCCCGTGCCTGTGCCAGTGGATAATCCCCAGAGCAGCCACTCTGATCCCTCTGGAGCTTTGGCCTGGTTGTGCTGCTGCTTCCCTTAGGCCTTTAAAATGCTCAGATGGTGGGGATGGAAGGGCTGAAACAGTTGTGGATGACAGAGCACAGATTCCTCACCGGAGTGTTGCTTCCAGGATTTACTGGGATGTGGACAGTGGTTGTCTCCACCCTGATCCCTGTGCCATAAAATGTGGGGAAGGCAGAGTCCAGTGAGAAAGTGTGGAAGCAGAAGAGCTAAAAACTCACCCACCTCACTGGCTTTAGCTGAAATCTCTTTTTCCTCTCTGCTGCTGGTGCCAGAGATGACATTCCCTCAGTGGTGGGTGGGCTCTCAGCGTTCCCAGGCTGGACTTCCAGCCAGCTCCCTGTGAGAGATTCCAGGTGCCAGGGCTTGTTCCCTGCCCTTCTGTCCTGCTCAGGTGAAACCCTGCATCCAGAGATGTTTTCCCTGTGTCCAGCTCAGGAAAAAACATGGAGCATTTGGAGTGAGTCCAGAGAGGCACTGAGATGAGCAGAGGGATGGACCATCTCTCATAGAAGGAAGGGCTGAGAAAATTGGGATTGTTCTGGAGAAGAGAAGCTCAGAGGTGACCTAATTGTGACCTTAAAGTACCTGAAGGAGCTGCAGGAGAGATGGAGAGACTATTTACAGGGGGTGTAGTGCCAGGACGAGGGGAAGTGGCTTCCCACTGCCAGAGGGCAGGGTTAGGTGGGATATTTGGAATAAATTTCTCCCTGTCAGCCTGGGGAGGCCCTAGAATGGATTTCTCAGAGAAGCTGGGGCTGCCCCTGGATCCTTAAAAGTGTCCAAGGCCTGGTTGGACAGGGCTTGGAGCCACCTGGGATAGTGGGGCAGGGGTGGAACTGGATGATCTTTACATTCCTTCCCAATCCAAAGCATCCTGGGATTCTGTGAAGATGCAGGAATGTGGAAGGTTTGGGAGCTATTCCAGAGTTAGTGGCTGCGACTTTGGAATGGCTGTGCTCATTGAAATGCCTTTAGGAGCCTCTTAAAAAGAGGCTTTCCCCTCCACACCCCCATTTTGTCTGGCACGAGGAAAGCATGAAGATTTTAATCCCCAGATTATTGTGGCAGCACAGCTGAAAGCCTCAGGAATGCGTTGAGGCAAAAGCAAAGCAGCAGAGGATCCACGGGAGCTGCTCCTGTGAGCGAGGTGTGCCCTCAGTGTGCGGGTGCTCCTGAGGCTGCTGAGCTCTGCTGGTGGAGGCAAAGCTTGGCTGTGCTTTGGAGTTGGGTGATGGAGGAGGGATTCCAGCAGCAGGAGAGCAAGCGGGGTCAGGCTGGAGAGGGAGGGCTCAGATCAGCTTTTGGGTTCCTCCTACCCCAATTGTTTGTGACGCTGAGCCCGTGGCTTGTCCCGCAGCACCTCGTTCTGCGCGGAGCACGCCCGACGCAACGCGCTGGCGCTGCAGGCTCAGGTGAAGAAATCCAACCCCGGGCCCGTGGGCGAGACCCTCCTGTGCCAGCTGAGCTCCTACGCCCGGGCAGAGCTGGGCTGCCAGAGCGCCGAGAGCAGCCGCAGCGAGGCCAGCCGCATCCTGGGTGAGCACCGAGCCCCTGCCTTGAGCTTTCAGCCTCTGCGTTTTTCAAATCCTCTCCTGCATTGGTGCATAACTCTTAAACTCCATGTAAAGTGTTAGCTACTGTCTTCACTTTTTTGGTCAGACAAAGCAATTCCTCTAGGCCTGAAACTCAAGGATACCAAACAGCCTCAGGCCCTGAAAAGTATAAAAAAAGTGCATCGAGGGGGTGCAAACTAGGGGAAATATGATTTCATTACCTAAAAGTAATTAGAGGATTAACCCCTGATATATAAATGGACCAAACATATCTGTCTGAAAAACTCGTGACCATTGTTTCGTCTTGGGTGTAGCCTCTTGGAGGCTTTTGACTGCCCAAATTGTATCTGTTGAAGGACTTTAGTAAATACCCACTTTATTCTCTTAACCTTGTCTAGCCTCTGTTCTAGGCAGCCACTCCAAGGCATCAAACCCAAAGGCAGTGCCAGGCTGCTCTGTTCCTGTGGGGGAAAGCAGCAATATCCCTTCTTCAGTCCAGTGGGGAAAAGACCCCGTGGTCTGGGAGGAAAAGCTGGGGTTTTGTAAAGCCTGGTGTATCTCACGCTGCCAAACCCAGACCCTGCAGGTTTTGCATGGAAATAATACCACTGGAATTCCGTGGTTGCTGGGAGGGCTGAAGCATCATTCCCAGTGTGTCCTGGCTGCTCCAAACCGGAGGTTTCTTGTTGTTTCCTCCTCCAAGTCCCTCACTCAGAGTTTTGGGGTTGAGAGTTCCCTCTTGGCATGAGGCAGAGCCTGCTCAGCTCCATGGGGCCGAGCTCCAGGGTGTCCCTGGCCATCCTGGGATGTGGCATGGTGTCCTGTGACTCTGGTGCTGTGTGTTGCAGACGAGGACAGCTGGAGTGACGGCGAGCAGGACCCTGTCACCGTGGAGCAGACGTGGCGTGGGGACCCTGACAGTGAAGCTGACAGCATCGACAGCGACCAGGAGGATCCCCTCAAGTAGGTTGGGGCAGTAGTTAAATTTACATTTTTGGGGGGCTCAGCCTGGAAAAAAGGCTCAAGGAGGGACTGGTTCTCCACAACTCCCTGAACAGGAGGCTGCAGCCAGGTGGGGGTAAAGCTCTGCTCCCATGAAAAGGGACAGAACAAGGAGAAACAGCATCAGTTTGTGCCAGGTGAGGTTCAGGTTGGACATCAGGAGGAATTCCTTTGTGGAAAGACTTGTCAGGCATTAGAACTGCCCAGGAAAGTGGTAGAGTCCCCATCCCTGGAGGTGTCCAAGGAATGACTAGCTGGGGCACTCAGGGCTCTGACAGGGGTTGGTCACAGGTTGTCCTAATCCTGGGGAACTTCTGGGATTCCATGGTGGCTGCTGCCTGCTACACACGTGTTTCATGCTGTGGGCTCACTGTGGCTCCAGGGGATGGTGGTTGTTTTAAAAACATGACTCTATCAATGGTTTTTCACGGATTTGTGCCCACACGGTTTATTGGCTGTGGATGCACTCAGGTCCTGGAGCTGGGGTTTTCTGGGAAGCACTTGCTGCTCATCCTCTTCCAGAATGGAGTGGGTCTCTCAGCAGCTTCTCTGGGTGACCCTGTCTCTTAAAAAAAAAAAGCCTGAAATTGAGTATTTCAGCTCAACACTTGTGGATGGTGTAACCCAGAGTGTTCCCAATAATATCAGTGTTGTTTGTAGGGGGGAACAGCTTAGAGGGACCCCCACATAATAATAATAATAATAATAATAATAATAATCTTGAGAGAACCACACAGATTCAGAGAATGAAGCCTTGAGGGTCTCCCAAATCCTTTGGGGGATCAGCCCTGAGGCATCCCCAAACCCTTTGGAAGAATTATTCCTGAGAGACTTCCCCCCAACCTTTGGGGGTTCAGCCTTGAGAGACCCTGACACCCTGCAGGAGAACAGCCCCATGGGACCCCTCCACATCATTTGGGGTTTAGCCCTGGAGGACCTCCAAACCCTTTGTGGCAACAGCCCCCACACCCTGAGGGGGATCAGCCCTGAGGGACCCCCACACCTTTGGGGGTTCAGCCTTGAGAGACCCTCACGCCATTTTGGAGAACAGCCCGGAAGGACTCCCAGACCTTTTGAGGGTTCATCCATGAAGGACCCCCGGACTCTTCAGCAGAAGAAAACCCATGGGATCCCCAGACCCTTCAGGGATCAACCTCGAGGTCCCCCACCCCTTTGGGGGGCTCAGTCTCCAGGGACCCTCCAACCAGGCCGTGTTCCCTGGGTTTTGCAGGCACGCTGGGGTGTACACGGCCGAGGAGGTGGCTCTGATCATGAGGGAGAAGCTGATCCGCCTCCAGTCCCTCTACATCGACCAGTTCAAGCGGCTCCAGCACCTGCTGAAGGAGAAGAAGCGCCGGTTCCTGCACAGCAGGAAGGGAGAGCACGAGGCCATCGGTGAGCCCAGACCTCCTGCCTGAGGGCATGCACAGAAATCTGCTAAAAAAAGGGGGGTTTGGGCCTTTCTAGAGGCTGATTTCAGAGCAGGGTAATGGGGGGTTCCACACTCAGAGCAGCTGTTTCATTGAGGGGCTGGAGCACAAGGGGAAAGGTCTGGAGAACTGAGGGAGCTGGGGAGGGGCTGAGCCTGGAGAAAAGGGAGCTCAGGTGGGACCATCTCACTCTCTGTAACTCACTTATAGGAGGGTGCAGTCAGGTGGGGATCAGAATTTGCTCCCATGGAACAATGAGACAAGAGGAAATGGCCTCAAACTGTGCCAGGGAGGTTTGGGGTGGGCATCAAGAGGATTTCTGTGCGGAAAAGGTGGTCAGGTATTGGAACTGCCCATGGAGGTGGTGGAGTTTCTGTCCCCAGAGGTGTTCAGGGAACAGCTGGACATTGCTCTCAGTGCCCTGATCTGGTTGGCAAGGCAGGGATCAGTCATAGGTTGGACTCTGATCGGGAGAGCTCTTCCAGCCTGAGTGATTCCATGATTCTGTGCTGGTCCTGTGCCCAGAGATCCCTATCACTGCAGTTCCAAAGCTTGTGCATTTCTTTGCTCTTCAGAGCTTGCAGCGTTGGCAGGAAATGAGCTATAATGTTAATTCTGAGACAAAAGTGCTTATTTTGTACTGGGATTTCCTGTTTTTTCCTTTTACGAACAAAAAATACTCGTCTGTAAGGCCCTTGGTGTGTGGACAGGAGTTGGTTCCAGTAACACCAGTGCTGCTGTACTGGCATATTCCTCCTTAGCAGGGGTGCAGCTTTCCCTCTGCCTCTGCAGGCATTCTCTCTGTGCAGAGTATGCTCTTGGAAGCAGGAATTCCCAGTTCAACAGAGGCAAAACCGAGTTGTGTAACTGGTCCCAAGTATTGCAGAGCAAAGGACTCTTTTTCCAGCATCATCCTTTAATAGCTCATCCTGGAAAACGCCATAATTCAGTTCAGGCTCAAGTAAAAATAACCAGGAGTTTGGTACATACCAGTTTTGCAGAACTCTTTTTAGCAAAGGAGTCAGAGAAAAGCAGATCCTGAGCGTTGCCCTGTAATTACACCAGGAATGCTGGCGGGAAGCTTCCAGAAACTCGCACAGGAGTGACCTGGAATTTGACAAGTTTCTATTCTGCTGCTGAAATTACAATGGGCGGGAGTGGCTGAATTATTTTTAAAGGAGATTTTAAAAATAGTCTGTGGGCCCAAGCGTTCCTGGTGTGTGTGGAGAGGTCAGGATAAATTTTGGGATGGAACCTGCACCACCAGGCGTCACCCAAAGCTGCTCTGCTGCTGCTCCTGTGCATGGAGCCCTCAAAGCCCTCCATGGCTGATGTGCCTAAAAAACCGGGCAGGTGGGTGTTGATTCCTGACTCTTCCTTTATTCCTGCAGGGAGCAGCCTCCTGACAGGGCCAGAGGGGCTGATGGCCAAGGAGAGGGAGAATCTGAAGCGGCTCAAGTGCCTCCGGCGCTACCGGCAGCGCTACGGGGTGGAGGCTCTGCTGCACCGGCAGCTCCGGGAGCGCAGGGTCCTGGCCACCGACGGCGCGGCCCAGCAGGTCCGTGGGGACGTCCTGGATGGGTCTCTCCTCTCGTGTCTTTTCTGGGAGTGAGCCCAGGCCCTGGCAGGTTGCCCTAACACCCTTCCTGCAAGGCTGCCGCCCTCCTGGGTTTGGAGAAGCTCCTGGGTTTGTTGAGGTTTGTGGGAGCTTCTGGATCTGTGGCAGCTCCTGTGTCTGCAAGAGCTTTCATGTCTTGGTGTCCACACCTTGAGTGTTGGGGTCAGTTCTGGGCTCTTCGTAGCAACAAAGACATTGAGGGTCAAGTCCACGGAAGGGAATGGAGCGTGGAAAGGGACTGCAGCACAAGAAGAGTCTGGAAAATTCCTGAGGAGATGAGGGAACTGGGAGGGCTCATCCTGGAGAAAAGAAGGCTCAGGGTATTTGAAGGCTTGGGGATTTTTAGGAGCTCATGGGTTTGTCAAGGCTCTCAGGTTTTTGGGAGCTCTTGGGTCTGGGATTTCCTGGGTTTGAGTGAGTCCATTCCATTGCCTAAAAGAGGCTTAATAAAAAGAGGGAGAGGGAGTTGTAAATAGACAGGCAGTGACAGGACAAGAGGGAATGGTTTTAAACTTAAGAGATGAGAGATGTGGGTGGATATTGGGAACAAATTCCTCCCTGGGAGGGTGGGGAGGCCCTGGCACAGAGTGCCCAGAGAAGCTGGGGCTGCCCCATCCCTGAAAGTGCCCTAGGCCAGGTCGGTTGTGGCTTAGAGCAGCGTGGGATAGTGGAAGGTGGAAGGGGAGCTTAAGGAGCTTTAAGGTGTCTCCCAACCCAAACCATTCCATGATTTCAGGCTCACACCACCCGCTCCAGCCAGCGCTGCTTGGCTTTTGTTGACGATGTCCGATGCTCCAACCCGTCCCTGCCGATGACCCGGCACTGCCTCACACGTATCCTTTCATCCCACGCTCTTCCTGAGTGCTGGCCAGCAGTTTGCCCGGGGCCTGTTTGCCCTTTTCTCCCTCCCTGGCCCTGAATCAAGGCCCTCGGTTTGCTGTAGCCGTTGGTTTCAAGCAGGAGCCCAGATGAAAAGTCTCCCTGTCTGTTGGTGCTCCCGTCCCATGGAACAGCCAATTCGTACGGGAGCAACAAAGGGCTGGGCTGCTCCCAGGGGTGCTCCTGCCGTGGCCTCCTGGGTGCAGAGCACCCAAACAGGGTGGGCATTTCACTTGGAAGCAGAGAGAACCCAGGCAGGCCTGAGCTGTGAGGGATGTGCATGGATCCCCTCCAGAGATGGGGATTCCATCACCTCCTTGAGCAGCCTTCCAGTGTCTGACCACCCTTTCCATGGAAGAAATTCCTCCTGATTAATTCAGAAGTTCCTGAACCTCTCCTGACAAAGCTTGAGGCTCTTCCCTCCTGTCCTGTCCCTTGTTCCTTGGGAACAGAGCCTGCCCCCCACCTGAGGACACACACACCAGAGCACAGCCTTGATTTTTGGGAGGATCTGGAGGGGTAGTTCGAACCTGTTTGGAACTGCTGTGGCCCAGTTCAGTCTCTGTGACCCTTCAAAAGGTTCTCATGTGTGTGTGTGAGCAGCCTTGAGCTGTTCCACTTCCCAAATCAGCCTCAGCTAGTGGAGAGCCAGCACTGAAAGTTCCACTGGGATCCCCCTGCTCAGGGATGACCCCCAATACGGGACCAAGGATCCCCCAGGTCGAGGATGACCCCCAGTCCATGACCCCAGCATTGCCCTGGGTGCATCTGCTCCATCCGCTCCTGTGGGAGTGGGTGGGTGTGTCCAGGTTTGGATCAGGCTGGAGCTGCAGGAGGGAGCAGTGGGGTGAGTCAGGACAAGTTCTGGCACTGAGTCCCAGGACTGGGTGAGGAGGAGCTTCTGGATCTGTGGTAGATTTTGGATTTGTGGGAGGTGCTGGGTTTGTGTGAGCTCTTGTGTTTATCAGAGTTCCTGGGTCTGTGGGAACTCCTGAGTTTGTGGGAATTTCTGGATTTGTGGGAGCTCCTGGGTCTGCAGGAGCTTGTGAGTTTTTTGGGAGCTTGTGGGTCTTGAGAAGTTTTCATATTTCTTGGGAGGTTCTGGATTTTTGAGAACCGCTGGGTTTGCTTTGTCCCTGGAGTTGTCAGACTCCCCCAGCCCTGTGCAGGGAGCAGGAGCTGGAAGCTGCCTTTGTTTCTCTCAAACCACCACAGATCTCAAAATAAAGCGAGGAGAAATCCCATAAAACAGCCAGAGAAGCTGCTGTTGGCAGCTGGCGCTCCCGGGAGGGAGGGAAGAGCTGGGTCTGGCGGGAGCTCTCAGCTGACTCTCAGTGACACAAACAAGCTTTTCCTCGGGCAGCCGATAACATCTGATAACATCTGCGGCTTTTTCGGAGGCTCTCGGGCTCTGTTTGCTTCCAGGAGCTGGATTGTTTGTGACAGGGCACTGAAGGGATGGGGGAAGGCTGGGAGGCTCCAGATGGAGCCTGGGATTTTTGTCCTCTTGGCAATCTGTGCTTTTGGCTACCAGTAAAGTCAGTGCTGGAGCTGGGAGTTGCTCCAGGAGATGAAAATCTGATTTCCCCACCCCTTGTTCCCTCACCACATCTTCCCTTGGGTGTCCCAGGTCCTTCTCTCTTGGGCTGGGCTCTGACATTGCTGCCAGCCCAGATTGTGGCTCCCCATGGCCTGCCAGGAAATGGATTCCTGAGAAATCCTTGGAGTAAGGAGGGGAGAGGAGGGAAGGGTGAATCTCAAACCTAGCCAGCTTAAGAAACTGGCTTAAACTTGGTGTCTTTTCCCAGTTTTATGTGGGTTTGGGATTTTTTCCCCCCCTCTCACACTGGTGTGTGTGAGGAAATTGCAGTTGAGGTGATCCTGGATGGAAGGGGATGGAAGAGGAAAAAGGTGGGAGGAAGAGGAGGGAGGGGTTGGAAGAAAAGGATGGGGATCAGAAGAGGAGAAAGAGGGATGGAAGAGAAGGAAAGGGTTGGAAGAAAAGGCTTGAAGAAGTGAATGGGCGTTAAAAAAGAGAAAGGGGTGGGAAGGAGAGAAGGAAATTGAAAGAGGAGGAAGAGTCAGGATGGAGTTGAAAGAGGAGGAAGGGGTTGGAAGAGGAGGATGGGATCAGAATAGGGCTTGGAAGAAGAGGGTGGATGTGGGAAGAGGAGGAAAGGGTTGGAAGGTGATGGGTTCAGAGCAGGCTGGGTTTTGATCTGTAGCTCCTTTGGATCGCTCTGCAAGTGTGATGCAATTGAAGCAGAGTTTCTGTTTGGGATTAAAGGCAGGAAATCCCATTTACACCTCTGGCAGGAACAGGTTTTCCACTGGCAAGGAAAATGCAGTGGGAAGATAGAAATACCATAACCAAACTGGCTGTGGAGAAGGCATTGTGTGTGCTGGGATCTCCCCGCCTGTGGGGTTGGAGCTGATCATTTTCCATGGCTGTCTGCAAACAAAAGTTAATCCTGTGCCTTTGTGACATCCAGCTGACTATCTGTGAGCAGTTTCCAGGGATCCAGCCACATCTCCCAGCCCCCACGGGGGGGCTGTGGCTGTTGTCCCAGTTTTCCATCACGGAAATTGTGTCACCCACATCCCTGGGCAGTTGGGGTGCAGCTCCAGCCTCTGCATTCCTGATCTGGGAGAAATGGGGGTGGGTTTAACACCGTTTGTGGGGGAATTGGGAGCCTTTCTCAGCGTTTCTCCCTCTGGATGTGTCCCTGGCAGTACCTCTGCTGCTTTCCTTGACCTCCTCTTCCCAGATATCTGCCAGGATACAAACCAGACACTGTTCAAGCCGTGCCAGGGCTCGGAGGAAGTTCCCTGCAACAAGCCTGTGCCCGTGAGCCTGTCTGAGGAGCCGTGCTGCCCCCTGCACCTCCGGCTGCCCCCCCAGATGTACGTCCCAGAGCAGGTCCTGGCTGTGCCCCAGGAGCTGGGGGCTGCTCCCACGGATCTGTACCTGAGCGCGGCCGAGCTCCAGCCCACGGAGAGTTTGCCCCTGGAATTCAGCGATGTAAGTGGGAAAGCTGCAGCTGAGCCCACCTGAGAGCCCACCTGGAATGCTGCATCCAGGTCTGGAATCCTCAGCACAGGAAGAGGACAAGGGCTGGAACAACTCTGGAGCCAGGCTGGGCATGTCCAGCCTGGAGAGGAGAAGGATCCGGGAGAGAGCTGGAGAGGGACTTGGGACAAGGGATGGAGTGCCAGGACAAGGGGGAATGGCTTCCAGTGCCAGAGGCAGGGTTAGATGGGATATTGGGAAGGAATTCCTGTGAGGGTAAGGGTGCCCAGAGAAGCTGGGGCTGCCCCTGGATCCCTGGAAGTGTCCAAGGCCCGCTTGGACAGGGCTTGGAGCCACCTGGGAAAGTGCAAGGTGTCCCTGCCCATGGGGATGGCAGGGGTGGAACTGGATGATCTTTAATTCCTTCCCAATCCAAAGCATCCTGGGATTCTGTGAAGATGCAGGAATGTGGAAGGTTTGGGAGCTATTCCAGAGTTAGTGGCTGCTCCTTTGGGATGGTTGTGCTCATTGAAATGCCTTTAGGAGCCTCTTAAAAAGAGGATTTCCCCTCCACACCCCCATTTTGTCTGGCACGAGGAAAGCATGAAGATTTTAATCCCCAGATTATTGTGGCATCGTGCATTTAAAGCAGCACAGCTGAAAGCCTCAGGAATGCGTTGAGGCAAAAGCAAAGCAGCAGAGGATCCACGGGAGCTGCTGCTGTGAGCGAGGTGTGCCCTCAGTGTCCGGGTGCTCCTGAGGCTGCTGAGCTCTGCTGGTGGAGGCAAAGCTTGGCTGTGCTTTGGAGTTTGGTGATGGAGGAGGGATTCCAGCAGCAGGAGAGCAGGCAGGGTCAGGCTGGAGAGGGAGGGCTCAGATCAGATCCCAGATCTGTGCAAACAGGAGGGATTTTTTGGGTTAGAAAGGGAAAACGGGGCTGTTTTCCCTGATCCTGTCCTTTGAGAGGGTTCCGAGCTCCCTCTGGAGCTCTGCAGATTCATGGAAGCTGCCGGGGGCATCTGTGTTGTGTCTCACGTCGTGCCAGGCTGGGGAAGTGCCACTCGTGAGTCACAGGAATCTCACCCTCGTGTCAAACCCCCTTCAGAGCCAAGACAAATTCCAGCCTCTCCCAAATCCCAGCCTCTCCCCTTGTCAGGGAGGGCAGATGGGGAGTGCTCAGAGCTTGTCCATCCCCATCTGTGCTGTCAGGGCAAACAGAGGAGGTGTGACATCCTAGGAGAGGGTGGGGATGTTCCAGGTGTCCTCTGGAGTGTGTGTGACATCCTGGAGAGCAGGGATTGCTCTGGGGGTCCCCTGGAATGTGTGTGACATCCTGGAGAGCAGGGATTGCCCTGGGGGTCCCCAGGAGTGTGTGTGACATCCTAGGACAGGTTGGGGATGTTCCAGGTGTCCTCTGGAGTGTGTGTGACATTCTGGGGAGCAGGGATTGCCCTGGGGGTCCCCAGGAGTGTGTGTGACATCCTGGAGAGCAGGGATTGCCCTGGGGGTCCCCAGGAGTGTGTGTGACATCCTAGGACAGGTTGGGGATGTTCCAGGTGTCCTCTGGAGTGTGTGTGACATCCTGGAGAGCAGGGATTGCTCTGGGGGTCCCCAGGAATGTGTGTGACATCCTGGAGAGCAGGGATTGCTCTGGGGGTCCCCAGGAGTGTGTGTGACATCCTGGAGAGCAGGGATTGCTCTGGGGGTCCCCAGAAGGGTGTGATTGGAGCCTGTCAAAGCCACTCCAGGTGCTGGAGGGACACTTTAGGAACAGCACATCACGCTGGGCTGCAGGTGGTGTGCCCCACACCTTGTCCTCAGCAATGCCAGCTGTGATCATGGCATTCCAAGAGGAGGAGGGGGTTCCTGGGGTGTGTTGCTGGCTGAGGGCCCCCTGGCATGGTGCCCACTCCTCCTCCTACTCCCAGCCTTTCTCCTCCCTTTCCTGCTGCTTCAGAGCATCGGACTCTCCTCACCCCCCTCCTGATGAGCCGCTCCGCTGTTTCCCCTGCCAGGACCTGGACGTGGTGGGTGATGGGATGCAGTGCCCCCCATCCCCTCTGCTCTTTGACCCTTCCGTGACCCTCGATCCGTCCCTGCGGGACATGGCCGAGGCTCCCATCGACATCCTGGCGCTGGAGGAGCCGG